ATATGTTATGTGCTTCGAGATCCGGCCTCAAATCAAGGTCTAAATGTCAAAAAATATAAAATCCTAAAGTTTTACCCAAAAAGCTTATTTTTGTTATATGACAACTTACATTTAGGCATAAAAATCTGGGGATAAAAAATAAAATTGAACAAAAGTAAGTGAAAGTTACTAACCTATGAAGTTTGGAAGAAATGGCTCTCCAAAATCTCCTTTATGTAGAGTCTAGGTCTCAAAGATGGAATAAAATGAGCTAAATCCTGAAATTCTTACCTTTTACGCAGATACAGGTATCGCAATTACTAACTCTTGTTCGCAATTATGACACGCACAAAAGTGAACAACTGGTTGAAAATGCGATCCAGCCCCTGAGCCTCAGATCTTGTAAATACGACATACGTTTCGCAATTGCGGCAACAGCTTCATAAATGCAAAGTCTGGAATCCTCGCGAATGCGAACTAAGCTTCACGAAAGCAAAGTTGTCCCTTCTCCACCCAGAGTCGCAAATGCGAAGGCAGACCCCTCGCAAAAAGCACCAAAGATGCCCAAGCTCTCCCAGCATCACAAATGCGAGCTAGCACTCGCAAATGCGAGACTCGTATTTGCGAACACAACATTGCAATTACGACGTCTGCAACAATCCAAACATCCACACAAGTAAAACAACATCATATAGACTCGCTCATAAGCTTAAATCGTCAAATTAAAGTCTAAAGTCAAGAATCAAACATCAAAACTCAAAAAATTGCATAGTTCATGCTTTAAAATTTTAACTTTTCTCATTAAGCGTAGAAACGGTCTAGGATTACCCGGGACCTCGACCAAATATACGTACAAGTCCAAAAAATCATAGGAATCTACAAGAACCATCAAAACAACGATCCGAAGTCGTTTACTGATAATATTAACCATGGTCAAGTCTAACCATTTTCCAGTTCAAAAATAATGTTTTCTTTAAAAATTCACATTTAAACTTTTGAAAAATCAACACGGACCCCGCACACACATCATAAATTATCATATAGCGTCACAAAAAATCTCAAATCACGAAATGGGGAGCTAGAACTTAAAACGACCTGTTGAGTCATTACATTAAACTTGTAGGATTTGTAATTGCCAGGAGTTAATACTAAAACCCAAAATATCCTGGGATTTGCTGATTTGCATTACTCAAACATGACCGACTTTCCGTATGGTCTCTTCGGGATGTTATTATCCGTCCTCGGTACAGATGATCCCCCGATACATTCTTATAACTAACCTTTCGATTCGACGTACTGTAAAAAAATATTATTTGATTTGGAGCTGAGTACATACTTGCCATGTGTTGTTTATTGTGTTGTCCACATGATAAATCCAAATTTTGCCAATACAATTTGGAAGAATTTACATTAGGTTGTACTACAAATACACTTCTTCTCCATAATTGTAAACTATTCAGAATCAATTTTATTTACTGTTACTATACTCAATTTAATGAAGCACTCTATTTTCAATTGTTGGCATTGTTTGTCAACTTCTTTCGGCCAAGAACTATTCAATGAGAACTCCTTTACATTATTCTTTTATCTACTTCATTATTCTTTTACTATTTTCTACTAGTAAAAATTATTTTATTAGTTTATTTCAATTGCTTGAGACCCTATTACATAAATTTAATTAATTTATCTAAAACTTAAATTTTAGGTTAAACATCGTCCATCGATAGTTTTGAAAGATGATATAGTCAGACAAGAAGAAAGCTCAATAGTCCGTGAAACTTAAAAGATAATCCATTGAGGTTCTTTTATCTGTAATGATATATAAATGTAAAGCTTGTAGCACAATCAGAACTAGCATCTTATAGAGTAAATTAATTCATAAAAAGACGGAGAAATAATAACCAAATTTAAATATTATTCTGTATGATTTTTGAAAAATAGGAAAAAAATCTCTGCACCTTCCAACCAAAAGAAAAAATCTAAAGTTATGGTGGTCCCGCCATTAGGGAAAAAATCTACGAACTAGGCAGTTTAATTGGACAGCAGAAAAATAAATTACGCATGCAATTAAGAGATAGCATTTAATTAAGAATCAGAATTTTAGAGTTCACACAAACAAGGTTGAAATTAAAAAATAGCCAGATTTACAAGTGGTAATTGAAAAATAGTCACAATTTCAAAAGTAATCGAAATTTAGTCACTTTTCATGTAAAGATAAATCTGAACGAAAACACTGTTCAAAATCTGAAAAATATTCCAGCATAATATACTGGAGTTCTAGTATAATATACTGCACTTCCAGCATAATATACGGGAGTTCCAACATAATATACTAGAGTTCCAATATAATATACTGGTCCAACATAATATGCTGGAAATTCATACACACGTTCTCCAATCTCCAGTATATTATGCTGGAACTTTCCGTGTGTTGGAGTTCCAGCATAATATGCTGGAAATTCATACACACGTTCTCCAATCTCCAGTATATTATGCTGGAACTTTCCGTGTGTTGGAGTTCCAGCATAATATGCTGGAACTTTTCGTGTTGCAGCAAAATAATGGCTATTTTTCGATGACTTTGCAAACGCTGGCTATTTTTTAATTACCAGTCCGAAAACTGACTAGCTCGTGCTTTTTAAAATCACCATTCGTTATTGCCAAAGGGGCAAAATGCAACAATAGCCAATTTTGGGACCATTATTTAAGCCATAGCGGCATTGTTTAAAATTTTAAAAGTCTAGCCACTTTGGAACCAACTCCCGGCATACACCTGAAGTTTGGCTTACCAAGTTTAAACTTTTGATATTTTCGCCTGAAATTTGAACTACTAAACCTAGTGCATATCTGAAATTTAACCTAAATGTCTAAAGTTAGCTTGTCAAATCCTAACTGCAGACTTGTATGTTAGGCTGTTCATCTTTGTTCTCCCAACTAACGACCGATTTCCTAACATGAAATTTTTGGCCTAAAACAGATACTCATTGGAAAATTAACACTTTCCCACACTATCAGTACAGAGTTACGAATCGCTGATGAAATACGTGAATGATGACAAAGTAGTAGGATCTTTACTAGGACTTTATGTTTGTAATTGCTGCTTTGAAAGTCCATTAAAGGATATCACAATAAATAAATAAATAAATAAATAAAAAGCCATAGCACTGTATTAGTGAATAATAGATCCCCCCGCAAGAAACAACAATACACAACAATAACAACCAAGTATAATCTCACTAGTGAGGTCTAGGGAGGGTAGTGTGTACGCAGACCTTACCCCTACTCTGGGGTAAAGAGGCTGTTTCCGAAAGACCCTCAGGCTCCCTCCCTCCCTCCAAGAACTCCTCACCTTGCTCTTGGCGTGACTCGAACTCACAACCTCTTGGTTAGAAGTAGAGAGTACTCACCCCTTGAAATTAATTTCAAATTACAAAGATACAAAACAAAATTAATTTAATTGGACTCCGAATAACAACAAATGGGTTTAGCCGTTGTTGTACAGAAAGAAGAAGTAGAAGAAACAATGGAGGGGGAGTTGGGCATGCTTTTGTATGAAGTTTGCCAATACTACAATATTAAAAATTAAAAGAAATTAATATAGCTTAAATAGTATGGTCAAAACACCTTTCATTATACTTTGGTCCTACTATATATTGCAATCTAAAAAGCTACTACTATATATTTAAGAAATTTTTCATTAACTTTTTGAACGGCAAAGAGCCAAATATACCCCTATACTATAAGAAAATATTTAAATATACCTTTTATTATACATTGAGTCTAAATATACCTCTGTTGTAATACTATTGGTTCAAATATAACCTTCTTATGTTAAGTTTGTCCAAGGTGGACATCCAATCTTATGTGACACTGATATTTGATGAGGTGGATGCCACATGGATTGCCACCTCAGCACCCCTAACCCATTTTACCCACATGGGGCGTTGATGTGGCATCCACCTCATCAAATGTCAATGCTACGTAAGATTGGATGTCCACTTTGGACAAACTTAACGGAAAAGGGGTATATTCGAACCAATAATATAACGACAGGGGTATATATGGACTCAAAGTATAACGAATGGTACATTTAAACCTTTTCTGATAGTAAAGGGGTATATTTGGCCCTTTCCGTTTTTTGAACTGATTATTTCATGCTTCTAAAATCTTGCCTCTCTAAATACTTGTTGAGTTCCCAAATAATTACGAAGTTTGGAAGTAAATCCAGTCAATACGAAGATAAAATTCGTTAAAATGTGAGTGTACTAGTTAGATTGATTCAACGAAGATAATACAATATGTCTTCTTAAAATTCAGATATAAAGTTAATCTAATTAGGTCTCATTTATTATTATTATAATTGAGTCTGAGTATATATATTAATATAAGATACTGTATCTTGATATAACATCGAATAATTAAGATTACTTAAAATGTGAATAAATTTTCTTTATTTATAAACTAATAAATATAGAATCCAAATAAATAACTAATAAATAGTATATGTACAAAATGGATAGAGAGAATATTAATTTGCAGCGTACTGTATAAATTATTTTTTTGATGAACCATACTCTAAAATCAAGTTGGTTGTAGTGGTGGTCGGCAATGATAATTATAAGGTGATAGTGATAAAGCTGGCCGGTGAAAGTAGTAATTGGTGGTGGCGGTTGTGCGATTGTTGGTAGTGGTGGAAAAGTTATCGGTTGTGGCTAATGGTAATGGTGGTCGATGAAAAACAACCCCATCCCTCCTTATAAAAGACATTCTTAGCCGTTCTCCGAGAATTAACACCCCATAGATCAGAACGTGAACTCTTTCATACCCTTAGTTTCGCTTGGTTGCCAACCGTGATTGTGTGGTGATGGTTGGTAGCAGTAATGGTTAATGATTGTAATAAATAGAGAAGTGACAAAAGGCTAGATTTACATAAACTTTTAAGCAAACGTACTAATGATATCAAGACAAAGATCCCAACAATTCAGATTTATTAAGAACTAATACGTGATAATGAAAGGAAATAAAATAAATGACACTTAATAAGCTGATATATGAATGGTTCAAAATCAAAATATCCATTTAATGCAAACAAATAAGAGCTTAGACATATATGGGTCGTTGAAAGGGGGAGCTAATACCGCTAACTCTTGCTCTAAAAGCTAAAATGGAAGAAGAAATATTAGAAGCACCATGGCTAAGGGGCTGATCAATACTTTGAAAGAAATTAAAAGCTAGCATAAACATCAATCGAGTTAAATATGCCAAAACCACGAGCATAATTGCTACAACTTAATTCATAATTTGAGTGGCATTTCTTATTTACTAATGATTCTTAAAAGGTTGTTGAATAAGTAAGATGCACTTGATAAATTCGCACTCCAGTTGAACTTGAAGAGAGTTTGATTTCTGCAAATTCAAGAGATCAAGCAAAGGAACATTTTAAGGGCCTAGACATACACCAACATGTGTTAGTAATGTACTGTTGAAGTTCTATACACACTGACGGTGTAAAATGCTCAAATCATATTATTTATAAGGTAATTACGAGTAAAGTATTATAATGAGCATTCATTAATAACCTAGTAAAAATGATAAATGGCTTGCTTTACTAGGTTAAATTACGCTATAAATCATGTGAGCGTATAACTTAAATCGTGTTGCAATAAATCCTATTGTGATATGTTCTCCTCAACCGCGTGATCTATCACAGTAAAAATGTAGTTGTCTCTATCAAGAGTACTGCAATTTGCACTGAACAAAGAAACTAACACATAAAGGAGGAGAAGAAATTAGGAGCCGCATATTTTGATCTTATAATAGAGGTAAAGAACAAAACCACTAATGTGTTATTCAGAAAAAAAAAACAGCCAAAAAGGCAAAAGATCACCTAATTATACATTCTTTCTTGGCCAAACTAGCCTGTTAGAGGCCCTATTATTATATATATTGGCAAGCTGATTGATCAATTACTAGTACTCATGTATTACTTTTTGATTCTTTTCTGGAGAGTAATTAATCACGCATTCTATATATGTCTATTTGGCAAGTTGTCCATTTCAAATGGCAAGTTGGACATGGTTTTTAGTGATTAGTCAACCAAATGGAAGAAGGAACAATTGATGAAAGTTGGTCAGGACTTGCCATTTTCTATAGTCAGTTGTTGATGTGTATAACTATAATGAAAGAGTTAAATTTCTATACAGTAAAAAACAAATGCGATAAATACCCTGCTAAAACAGATCAAACTGAACCTATCATAGTATAAAAAATTTAATTTCTTAAAATATAGTTATAATGTGAAAATTCTTTACACGTATTTATACTTGAAACTAATCAATATTCCAAATATGTGAATTTCAAAGTAAAGAAACTGTACCTACGAACCACATAGCTGTCCACTAATGTCCTCCTGGATCACTCTCTCAGTCTCTGTTGTGTGCCATGACTTGCTGCTTCATTAGAGGAGAGTCATATGTTTGATGATGCAGCATCATCAAGATTCCCATATGAAATTTACGAGAATCTAGGATTAGACCTCAGTTAAGATTTTAACTTTATAGATTTTGGAGGGTAAAACGACTTCAAATATTAACAAATGATTTCAAAATTTAATATTTTTACATATTTAATAAATTTCTTAAGATAAATAACTATATGAGCAAAAGAGGGTTCGACCTAACCCGTATATAGATCCTTTATCCTTTCAAGTTTGTGAATCTTGATGATGCTGCATCCTCAAACACTGACTGGGTGACCTTGTTAAGTACTTATGATTCATTCTCCATACAAGAGCAAGAAAAACCCTATTCTTAAGAGTTAAGTTTGGTCAAACGATATAACCATTCAATCTTTTTGGAAAGATAGGAGTGGAATACTACTTGACTTTACTGAAGCTAAGAGTGTAAAAAAAAGGTAAAAGAAAGAATTACTTGGAACTCTTAGAAAGAATTGATTGTCTCTCGTTTTACTAGACTGATAAAGTATTTCTTGTTAGATGAGATTGAGAGTGACTTCTTTTGTTTACCAAGAGTTTCGTTTGTGTGTTTGAAATAAGAAATCCACATCTCTGTAACCAATTAATCGGAGAACGATTTTTAATAGGTTATCTTGACGAATTGGGCATGGAAAAGGTAACTGAAATGGCTGAAAGGAAATTAAGATAAATAGGAGATGATGAGAGATGGAATGTATTGGCAATTGGGATAATGGGGTAGACCTCATGACATTAACAAATCAATAGGAAGAGGTTTATATAGAGGATAGGTAGAATTACCTATATTCTTGGTGGCCAAAAATTTACCTTCTATAGTACAATTGTGAAATTTATATTTCTCTCATGATTAGATCAATGAATAATAATTGCAGTTAAGTATTCATAAGAATTAGAATTAAATCTGGACGAGTTACTTATTAGACTATATCATATTATATTAAAAAGTAAGAAATCTTGTACACGCTTAGTGTGTTAAATAAAATATTCAAATGGGTCCCTCGGTTTTTAAGTTAGGTGGCCCTTCCCCGGATCTTGCAATTTTTTGTGCGCAACAAACCACTCGGCTTTCAAGGTCAATATTCCTCCTGCTTGTAAGCAAAAGTTTCAAAAGGAATCATGATCCTTCTTAATATTACATTTAAGAAATATATAAAAAAGAATGGCATAAGACTTCAGACTTAGAAGAAGGGCTGAAGAAGAGCTTTTATACTATAACTTCAACATGTTGAAATTCCTATCTATACGTTTGGACTATTGGAGTTGCTTTATATAGAACTCTGAATATTATAGTTCGTGTTTTAGTTTTAGTTTCAGAAAGCTACACTAAGTATCAAATAGAATTAAAAGTGTTGTCCAAGAAGACATAATTAGCCGCAGCTAGTTAGTTCAGTTTATGCAAATGACTATATCATGAGATATTGATTTTTTTTTCTCATTATTAAATCTTATCTTTGAATGAAAAGTAAAGTATTGGTGAAATACTCAATAACTCGGTTCTTTAAGTAAAACTAGCCCTTTCACGTTTGAGTACAGGATTAAAAAACGACTCTTTTTCTCTCTCTCTTTGAAAAACTCAACGGATACTTAGTCTAGCGCTTTTTCTCCACGCTCCACCCTCATGTACCTGTCGGACGGCGCCCTTCCGGCACGTCTAGATGGCAAAATACTCCCCCTAACCCCTTAAGGGAATCAAAGAAAAACACACTTATGCCACTAAAATTGCTACGACCTCTGCTACTACTCCACCTATTCATCGACACGACCGAAAATCTATGAAAGGCATTCACACAAAACACAATGGAATGACAGCGGTTCTATTCAAAGCGTCGGCCTACTATGGTATCATGGCAGCAGAGTGCAGGCTCAAATCGATAGAGGAAAGAAAAAGGGAAAAAAAGAGAAGAAAAGAAAAAAGAAGAAAGAAAAGAGAAACGTAAAGAAAAAAATATACTAATAAAAATGAAATAGTATTTGTAATACACTTTAATACAATTAACGAAAGAGCTAATTAGTTTGGATGGATTCCGTTTCGAAAATAGCATATATGGACCAACTGTGTAACTCTAAGGGTGGACCAACTATGTGACGGTAAAGGCATTCTTGAGCTAAAGTATTAACGAATGACAAATATACTCAATTTCGTATAATACAATGGCATATTTGGACCTTTTTCGTTTAAACAATACTTATAAGTAACTATCCATAGTAAGTAATTGAAAAACCCCGCTACTAACCTTGTAAAGTTTAATGCACTGTAGTATACAAGTTAGATCCTGTGAAAGAAATGAAAAAACAATTAATTTATTGGTTTAATCTATTCATAAGTAGTGGTTGAGATCGAGTATTCATCATTTCACGTGGAAACTAGCTAAGTCGCAAACTCGCAATATTACTGGCCACAATCACGTGTACTTGTTTCATTTAACAGCAACTATTAATGCAAAAAGTCCTTTTGATGTTTAATTGCACATTTCTTCATGTAGTACGAAAGCGAATAAATTAAAAAATAGTGACAATAAGTTTCTCCAATTTTTAAGAGAGAAATTAAATATATTTTATTTGAATATAAGTTTGCAAGTAAAAATAAAGAGCCTGAAATACACGTAGGAAATAATACATGAAAGGAAAAAAAAATTGAATATACAAACCAAAATATTACATTGCCTTTTCTTTCCGAAAAAAATTGGACCCTAACGAAGGTTTACCATACAATATTGCTTTGCTAGATTTTATCATTCAAAATATATTCTAAAGCTAAACAAAGACTCATATTGAGACACATCTCGACTTGTTTGAGATTGAGACATAATTATTGTTAATATATGTTAGAATACTAATTCAAACTTGAATAGAATAGCTAAATTATTTAAGATTTGATATTTGATAGTTTATTAATTCATGTCTAAATATGTTTTACAGTCAAAATTATATAATAATAGATTTTTTAATTTCTAGATTTTTTAATTTCTAGTTAAAGTAAGTTCATTATTATTATAAATAGGGAAGTTGCTAGTTATTATCTATGTGTAAAGAAATATTGATTTCATTCAGAGATTTTATTTTTTATGAGTAAATTATTTTCTTAAATTAGTTATTAGAGTCTCTAAAATTTGCAGAGACTCAAATAACCTCCACCACTGGGCGACATTGCCAGCATGTGTTGCCCGCCGGGCCGATGACATGGGCATTAAAAATAAAAATAGTTAGCCACCTATAGGCGCTAATATGGTCAAAGACGCATCAAACTCAAAAGAGCAAGTGGCACTAATATAAGCTTAAATGATGTTAATCACTTCCCTAATAATCATGACTACAGTTAAGCCATTGATGGATCAAAACGTGTATTTTTTTACGTGTAAAGGTTGTCAAGTGAGATAGTGACCATTTTCATATATTATTAAGTTTGATTAACAGATAATAATCTTTTCCACCTAATGGCTAATGGGAATCATTTTATCAATTTAGCTAAAGCGCACCCATCCCTATGACATAGACTTATTTTAGGATTGGAGAACAAATTTAATCAGTGGGACTCCAAATAGAGATTTTTAATTTGTTGACCTTGTAAAATTGTAGAACTTAAAGTTATATACACTGACTTAATAATCAGAGGCGGAGGGAAAGCAGAAGCTACGGGTTTGACCGAACCAGTAGCTTTGGTTCAAATTATTTATTTGTTTTAAAAAATTCATTGAATTCGTAAATTATTAACTTAGAACAAATTAACTCAAAAGATTTAAAATTTCGAATTCATAAGTTTCAAATCTTAATTCTGCATCTGTTAATAATATGATATGACAAGTCAAATACCTCCGCCTACGATCGTTAAATCCTGGGTTTGAGTCACGCTGTAGGGGAAGTATGAAAACACTATAGATCCTCCTAATTTGGGAGGGTTTAAAAAAAAGTCAAGATCCAATAGCATCATGAGTTGTATCGTTGATGAAGAAAAAAAAAATAGGACTTCACATGAAAACTAAGAAGACCACCCGTTATTCCAATCAAGTTTATGTTTGCCATAAAGTTTAATATATCCCTAGAAGAATAAAGGGGTTGATACATAAAATGCACGATCTAATAACTAATTATGACACTTATAATGTCCTATCATCCAACCTCAAATTTTAAAGCTATTTAAAAAATAAAACTATTTTAATTATAGAACCCCATTATTCTTACACGTAGCTCACAAATAAATTGATATGCAAACTTAGTGAACAATTTAAATGAAATAAAGCCCTTATTCTCCTAGCAGTTTATGCTCTTACATTAAATAGCGTAGCACCCTTAAGGGTAGTACTTCTTCCAACATTTCCTAATGATAGGACCGATTCTCACATCCAAGAGCCGCCTTTAAATCTGCTATTCATTGAGCATTCTATTCCAATCTTGAATAGCAAGTCGCAAGAAAAGTATTTAACACTAGAGTGGCAAAATAACTTCAACTTTGTAGACAAGCAAATAAGGAGTTGCTTGTGTTAGTGTGCGTTGAGTTGTCTTATATGCCCATAGATCTTTTTTCATATGGCCATGTCAATCTCGTCCAAATTTGGAGACGACTTTCTTCAACAAGTAGCATAGAGTCTTATTAAATGCCTCAGTTAGATCATTGACGCGGCATAGTATATAAAAAATTATGTTGGTCGAAGCCAAAGAGATCACAATTATTCAATAACTTGTTATCGAATGACTTATCATTATCAGTTATTATGTAACGCATCCACTCTTGGTTGCAGAAGCTGAGGCGGATGTTGGGCTGGAGGCTACACATCCTAGTAGGCGTCAATGCTTGGGTGCCAATTTGCTAAAATTTATAACATTATAAGACCACGTGTCGTTCCTAGACTTTATTTTATTAGTTTGGGAGCTGCACAACACGATTCGGAATATTTTTAAAGGAGATTTCATCTACATTGATTTCAAAGGCTTGACGCCTCCTGGGATACATGCAACCCTAGATCTATATTGTAACTTCAATATATCATTGATTTCAAAGGCTTCTGGATTACATGCCAATTTCCAGAAGAGTACATATATTTGAGAAATATCTCACAATGTGCAAGAGCAGATTCTGAATTTGTCAGAGATTATCACAGGCGGCTACCAATTAGATATTTAAGGGTACCTCCAAGCACTAAAAAAGCAGTAACGATCCAACCGACCATTTTGAGTATTT